AAACCTGTGAAGGATCCCTGTAGCCGTGTCATTGTTATAGTACTGCTGTTAAGAAGGCCACGGTACTGTAACAGTACATAAGTCTAAGACAAAAAATAGTTAAATAGATAAAGATATCCAAAAATCTTTGACTTAACAAACTTTAACTAGTTTAAATAATAATATACCTAAAAAACCAAAGATTTCTAATGAGAAGTAAACAAATAATGGGCAGACATGAAGTAGCATTTCTCCCAAAATATGCTCATCATCATATCTAAGATAGTAGATAAAATTATCTAGTTAAAAATCTTAGAATAACAAATAACTATAATACTATCGGTATAAGTCTGGAGCCCAATTTAATGTTTTAACCCCTGAAAAATCTTGTGTTGTAGATCAAATCTTTCAGGGGCGTTACTACATTTTTGATTATTACAAAGGCGTAGAAGTATACTTCGCAATTTGATAATCTACTTGATGACGTAAGATCAAGTGACGTACTATACTTGTATTTACAATAACAAATTAAAGACTTGTTTGGTTAATAAAAACCATGCTAACTTTTCCAATGGCTACCGATCTGAATTCGATACGAATATGGCTTCGCAAAGCTTTGGACAAAGCTCAAGTAAGTATATTAGATTGTATCAACTATTATTCCTCTGGAAGGCAGATTGTTTAATTACATTCATGTAGTACGCACATCCTGAACGAGTATTTCGGGACATTGACGCCACTCTGGCAATGTTCGGCAAATCGTTGGCTTTAAAGACAGATACATATAGTAAGTGACAAACGCTCATTTATTAAATAGGATGGTAATACTTCTATGCAGTATTATACGTTTCACTAGATCAAAAAATTTCGAATGTTTTCTAGTTTTCTGATATAAAGCAAATTCGTTTGGACTTTTGGAACTAACAATAGACATATTGATCCTTATACTTTTCCCTTCAAGCATACGATGATGGCAAAAGTAAAGCTTTGTTATGTCTTCACGGAACAATTCCGATCACTTTCAAATCAACGCCATATAACATTCCTATCAACATTTGGATCCCAACGGAATATCCCATGGCAGCACCCATCGTATTCGTGGTTCCAACTTCTAGTATGTTAGTAAGACCGTCAAAAATTGTTGATGTAAGTGGTCGATGTCAACATACATATCTGCAGCATTGGGGCATTAATCCACAGGAGGTTTGTAGTCAATTATTAAACTTCATTGGATGTTTATTGCTTACTGGCTTGAAAATTCATGTCTAGTTTTTTACATCGAAGGAATCAAATATTGTTACGCTATGTAAAATTCTGCAAAACATGTTTGGCCAAAACCCACCGGTATACACAAAACCCACTTCTCAACCTTCACCGGCTCAGCAATTATTACATCAACCACCTACCAATGGAGGTCAGAACACTTTAACGTCACCAGTTCTTCATGCCTATCATCCACAGTCGCCAACACCGCCTCCTTTACCGCCTCCACCGCCTTATCATTCTGTTGCAACAAATAAACCGGCTAGTAGACCGAGAAGTCGTAGTCAAGCTGCACCAGTTCCTCCACCGAATCCACGGTACATGATTCCGGTAATTTCCTCTTTTTTTTTTTTACCAAATGCTTTGTTTCTTTGTATAGGTATATTTTAATGCATTAACTAATACTTTACACAATCTGCACAAAAAAAGTCACAAAATCATATGTATCAACAACCACCACCGTCACAACAACATTCTAGCTCATTGCCAAGGTTTCTATCTGGAGAAGATTCTTCACAACTTCATATTTCAAGTATACTTGATGATCCATCACCACCTTTTGTCCCACAGCCTGCACCATTGCCAACAACACAAAATCCAGAGTTGGTAAAACTACAGTCTGCGGTTTATGATAAAGTAAAAAAGAGTTGCAATGAATACTTTGAAAGATCAACGCCAGAAATACATATGATAATGGGTTGTGGTGAACAGCTAAATAAAAGCAAAGAGCGCATTAACCAGGAACGTGAACATT